GAAAATTTTAAGTTCACTAGGTATTTATTTAGAATTATTTTAAAGTCTAACGAATATTTATTGATGATTTTTTTTAAAGCTTACTTGATATTTATTTAAGAATTTTAAGAAAAATTTTATTGTTACAACAGTTTTATATATAATTAAGATTCTGTTTCATGGAACACTTCGTATATTTTGGATTGATTTCGACACAAACATTGCCTGTTGCCTGCAGTCTGGAATCTGTCATAAAGAAATTCTACTGAGCAACCATTTCATCTAGTTCCATATCTCATTGTACAGCAGATACTTTAACGCTAATATGTATTTCAAGACAGCAAGACAGTTAATGACAATTAAAGCAAGAACAGGATCATTGTTCATTACACAACAGGATACAAGAAATTAAACTGTCTGTAACAGAGTTACTCATCAAGCAAACAGTCACATAAAATGAAATTGTTTGAAAGGACATTCCAAAATGCAACATAACAGAGTATTGATCATACAAAGCATTAATCAAAGTTCAAGTGGGCTTATGTCTGACGAAATGAAGGTAATAACATCATCACAAATCAAACCGCATGAGATGAATCTCATTTGCTTTTGCCTCCCTGCTTAGCTCAAGAGATTTGTTTTGACATTGTAAGAACTCCTACAAGGATCACAAGGTTATAAAAGCAATTAATTATGTCAACATCCATGACATGATCCCAAAAATTGATTTTAGGTCTTTTATAATTTATGTGTACGTGGTATAAGAGCAAACAAAAGAGCAATAGCCAAGGAACAGCACTACGGAATAGGCAGGAGATGAGACAAATCAAGCAGACTAACCAGTCGAGAAGTGACTAAAGATGATCTGTGGTAAGAAAACTTACTTGTGAAGGCTTAGATTATTCGTCTTTAATTTCAGAAACTTCTGTCAATTTCTCTAAAATGGGAGAAAAACCCTCTCCTAGATCCAGGAATGGAAGGAGGATATCCTTAGTGGAAGGATTGTCCCACACCAGTGATTCCCAGCATTCTTTTGAATTTGTGTAGATTCTTCTGAGTGAAGGATGAGAACAGAGCTCCCCATTGGGAAGGAGGGGCAGGTATAGAGGGATCCTCTTGAGCTTTGGACATTCAAATATTCCAATTTCTTCTAGAGAATCACACACCATTACTCCTCTTGTAGTACAGATGCTCTTCAAATTTGATAAGCCATCCAACAACAATTCCTTCAATTTGGGAAGAATGAAAGTAATTGCTTCATTTTCTCCATCTGTCATGAGAGTTTCTTTCTCTTCTTCCACTTCTATTATTTCCTCCATTTTTGTGCAGCCAATGACATAAATCTCCTCCAAGTTATGGAGACCCTTCAACAACTCAGATGGAAACAGCTTCTTGATTCTTGGACACTCGTATATTAACAACTTCTTAAGATTAGAAAAGACTGAAGACTGTGTTGGTGCACATGATGTAGATGGAGCTGATTCTGCTTGCCCTTTCATTTTCACAAGTGCACGCAAGTTAGGCAATTTAACAAGCCTTAGAATTGAAAACCTATCAAAGGGACTGCAATCTGAGGACAATGAGAACAACTCAAGCATGCACTCCAACTTGTCAAATTGCTTGATTTGACATGATCTTAAATCTGATAATGCCTTAAATTTAAAAGCATCGTTTAAGCTTTTCAAGCCACAGCACCTAGTAATCCTCAAAAGCTGCAGGTCATCCGGAAGCAATACGGGATGATATTCATTGATTTCCATTCCACGTAAAGTTAACATCTTAGTGCAATCATCATAATCGAACTCAGAATTAGGATCAAAAACAGCATCGGAAGAATCATCATCATTGTCATCAGTTGCTTCCACACTAAGCTCATAGCTAGTAAGCTTTTGACCTTGAAAAGACTTGACAAAATTGTTGAACTCTTTTAGGTCATCAAATCCCTTGTGAAGTGAATGATCATAGCACGGCTTTAAGAAGGGAAGGAAGATATCCTTAGCTGAAGGATTGTCCCATAACAACGATTCCCACCATTCTTTAAAATCTATGCAAATTTCTTGAAGTCGAGAAGGCAGAGAGAGCTCACCGTTGGGAAGCAGAGGCAGAGATAAAGGGAACCTATTTAGCATAGGACAATCATATATTTCAATACTTTGAAGAGAATCACAAACCATTACTCCTCTTGTAGTACAGATGCTCTTCAATTTTGGTAATTTCTTTAATCTCAACCTTCTTAAATTTGGAAGATCTAATCTGATGGTTTCATTGTTTGCCACTGTTGTGATAGTTTCTTCTTCATCCTCAACATCTATTATTTCCTCCACCCTTTGGCAATCTTCAACATCAATCTCCTCCAAGTTTTGGACACCTTTCAGCAGCTCAAATGGAAACAGCTTCTTGATTCTTGGACAGTTTCTTATTTTAAAAATTTTAAGGTTGGAAAATACGGAAGAAGGTGTTGGTCTTGATGCCCGTGATGTCGAGGAAGCTGATGCTGCTTGAGCTTCCACTTTCACAAGTACTTGCAAGTTGCGCAGATTATTAAGCCATAGAATTTCAAGCTTATCAAATGAGCTGCAGACGGAGGACCATGAGAACAAGTGAAGCATGCACTCTAACCCTTCACAACCATTGATATCACAATATCTTAAATCTGTTACTGTATTGAACAGAGAAGCCTCACTTAAGATTTTCACACCACTGCACTTTTTAATCTTCAAAAGTTGAACGTCATTTAGAAGCAATACAGAATAACCTCTTCCAATTTCCACTCCCCTTAAAGCAATAATCTTTGTGCACTCCACACCTGCAAGCAATTCATAGTAATCTGTTCCCATTTCAAATTCACCTAATCTCATCTTCCCATCAAAAGCAGCCTTCGTATGACCAGTTAATCCCACACTAAGCCAGTACCTAGTGAACTTTTG